ACTGTGGTGTAGACAGGGGAAAAGCTGGTTCAATTTTTCTCTATTTTTCTTATCTTCACGTCCTCTCTTGAAAATTATGTTTACTAATATTTATATTTTTAAAGACAAAGATATGCGCTTAGAAATGGAACGGAAAAATTTAAACACCGTGTTTGTACAAATGAATGAACCTTAAAAATCAGTGTTCAACGGACAAACTTCTTAAAAATAATTTTCTACTTAGAACGTGCTGTGGAGTGAATTGTGTCACCCAAGGTCCATGTATTAGAAACTTAACCCCAATGTGACAGTGTTAAGAAGGTGAGAAATCCTATTATGGTAATTGAAAGTTGGGACCTTGAAGAGATGATTAGATTGTAAGGACCATGCCCTGGTAAATGGATTAATAAGTTGATTGTTAAATGGTGGTCATGGGCAACCTGGTTCTGAGGGCTTTAAAAGCAGCGGTGACGAGTCAGCTCTGCTCTGCCATTCCCGCTACGTGACACCCTGCATTGCTGTAAAGCCGCCACCAAAGAAGGCCTTCGCCAGATGTGTTCCCTGGACTTCGGACTCCCTCGCCTCAGAAACTATAAGCAATACATATTGTTTCTTTACAAATTATCCCGTTCCAGGTATTTTTGTTATAAGCAACAGAAATGGACTAATACAGAAAGGTAACTTTTAAGTGGAAAAACAATTTTAATATATGTAATTGACACCATAAAACTTTCAAAATAGAATGTATGTTGAGATTTGGCCAGATCCATTACATGCATATAAAATATATTTATGTGAAAAGCATATATTATGACCTTTTGTTACAAGATGAATAATACCAACCACACATGGGAAAAACTTTTTGAAGATTATTATGTCTTGAAACCTCGTACTTTAAAAAGGAGGTTAATTTTTTTCTGTCTTTACCACGTATGATTGTAATGGGGATGGTGTACCCCATGCTTTTTATAATATAAGATAATTTAAAATATTTATAATTTTGAAATGCCTTCCGTTCAAGAGAACCTTTTAAACATTAAAATCTATTAAGACTAGAATTACAGTGTGACAATATGTGTAATATAATCCCAAGTAATGTTTCAACTAGATTAAAATAATTTGTTTTTAATTTAAATATAATTGTCTCTTTTGTCTTTGTGATGATAACCCATTTATCCAAAAATTGGGATAGAGGTTTCAAATACATGTTGATGCAAAAATTCAGATGTCTGAATCAAAGCTAAAATTGTTCTGTTACAACTATTACATTTACCTTTCTTCATAAATCTCAAGTAACATTACTTAAGTTGATAGTAATGTCCAAGCAAATAAAGGTTCACACCTGGGATGCATTAAAATCTAAATAAGTAATATTAAATTACTTTCAAAAACTATTATAAAATTGTGTAGATCTATTGAATTGTTCTGGTGCTATCCTCTAGTAAACCAGGGTCCCTGGGGGAGTAGGTGATTCTTGTGATGCAAACGGGAATGTGCAAGCTGAACCTATATGTCTTGTTGTTTTTAAATAGTCTAGGAGTACGAGACACAGGAGCCAGTTCAAATGAGCTACCAACTGCCAAACTGTGACATATGATCATCGAAGAGAGAATTATTATATTTAATTAAAACCAGACAAGTCTACGAAATGCCAAGAGTCTATAATGTTCTCAAAAGGGAAAATTATTATTCTTCCTTTTCAAATGACTAGTACTATATTCAGCTGATTTTATGAGGAGAAGATGACAGACTGACTGATCACAGTTTGTTGAGGCATTCTGTATACAGGTATGAAAAACTAACCAATCGACCTATATGAACCATGCCATGTTCTACAGTCTGAAGATTAGAGCCACATCAAAAATGGTGTCATATATCCCTGCCAAAGACCATACCTAGTCCCGTTCAGAACCTAAACTGTAATAAAGAACTGTAATAAAGAACTGTAATAAAGAATGTAAGATCCCGAGTTCTCATATCATAGTGCATTGTACAGCATAACACGTCAGGGAGAGAT